ATTAGCAAAGTCCTGTGCCTGAGAGAGAGTCTGGGTGAGGCCAAGTTGACCGACAGGGCCCAAACCTTCAAGGAAAAGGATTTTTTTTTTTTAAATCAAAAACCCAAGAGCAGCAACAAAGCAGAGTTCTGACTTCAGCAGAAACTGAACCACTGCCCCTGCTGCAACCTGGCAACATGGAGCTCTACATGGCATTCAATGCTCGCTGGATTTCTTTTCAATTGGGCCTCTATCCATGACCCATGGCACAATTCCCACTGGTGACAGGTTCTCATGCATGAGAGACAGCCACCGCCTAGTTTTGGCACCACCTAATGGAAGCTATTCCACAAAAGGACTGGGGTGGGAAGAGCACCACTAGGCTGCGTTGTGCCGAGATATTAGAGCTTGCTCTGTGCACATTGGCTAGAGAAGCAGAAGCAGTATAAGTGCAGTAGCATGGCAGTGTTCCCCAGATAATTAGCTATACTGTACAGATAAACCCTTAGATTTTCCTTGGCACATGCAAGCCTAAATATCCTGCAGGCCTCTCATGCACAAACACAATGTGCAGCTGCAGCCAGTTACAGCTGGAATTGCTTCAGCAAGTTAATACTTGCCTCCTGGAGGAATAAACATGCAAGGCTACATTGGCACCTACCTATCATTTGCTTCTGCTCCTGAGGAGGGGCTGCAGCCAACATAGATGCAGTCAGTGGCTCCTGCCCCTGGACATGAACAGCAGGTTCTCCACCCTACACAACACACAAGGAACAGGACTGGTCAGAAGAGGTGGGGAACAGGACTTAGACTGAGCAGGGTGCGCCAGAGAGGTTTTAGAAATGAAGATTCTGGAAAGAAGGACACATCCCAGTGTCTGGCCTCAACAATTACAGCACCCTTTTAACTGAGGAAATCTCAGTCCTTAAACTTCCTGCCAAGAAGTCAAACCAGGGCTGAATTCAGGCAAGCTGGGAAACTAGGTATATCATAGACCTGCCACCTACAGTGCTCTTTGACTTTTCCCAATCCCTACCCCCTCCCCTAGAGATGCAGGGGGTAGGGGCTAAGAGGTCCTCTTCTACCCTACCAGGGGCAGAGACCCCGTTGAGAGGATGGCAGAAGGAAGTGCCCATTATTTACCCCAACAGCCAAAGTGTATCATCTCAGTGGGAGGATAGGGGACTGAACCTGCTCTACCTTTGTGCTATATACCTCTCTGCTGCAAAGGTGCGGGCAACACCCTCAAGCACCCCTGAGCAGTGGGTTTTGGTATTAACACTCCACTGTATAAGGCAATTCATGCATCCCAGACTGCTACTGTTTCAGGCTCTTTGAAGACTCTGACCTTGCTACAATGGTTATATTTGGTTCATGCTTTCCAGATTTTTTTTGAAAGCTTAAAACACAGGTCCTTATTGTCTCCCTGCTGTGATCACTAGATGATAGTTCAGTTTGACAACTAGCTTCACTCAGGACTACCTAGGCACAGGGTTCTTGAAGGCAGGTTGCTTGACCAGGCCACAACAGAATCAGGTTTGACATGGCTGCAAGTACCTGAAGAGTCACCCTTCTGGTACCAGAGGAAGAGCCTCTCTCTCCATTCTCAGAAAAAGAGTTATCCAATTTCTGATTTGCTACCAGCATTAAGAACCAACTCTGGTAAGTGACAGATTTCTAACAGTTTTTCACCAGGCAGGTGATAAGGCAGGAAGTCACAGTTCTGGGGGAATCTGCAAGCTTCAGGAGTGCGACTGAATCCTCTCTCCTCCTCCTGACAGAAGACCTCTGCATCAGGGCTGGCTGAGGGTTTCAGATCATGAGGTCTGCACCTGAGGCCTGGCCTCCACCAAGTGCACAGAACTTAGCAGGCAGTGTTCCACACTGATCCAAGTAGCCTGGCTGAGGGAGGCAGGATGCAGCACTGCACATCTAAGCACTTGGAGTCTCACCAGTGTCACAGTTACAGCAGACTGCAGTGCTCTGTGGCCTGTATCTCAGATCTTCCTCCTTTAACAGCCCCAAGCATACACCGTGAGAGAATCAGTCCATCCTTCCTGCATCTTCAGGAATTCCAGCAGCTTCACATGTCTCACTAAGTTCAAATGGAAACAACACAAGACCTGCCAGATCCTCCAGGAGCTCAGGAAACCAAGGCTGTTTTTGGAATGCCATCGTTTAGCCTTCTATTCAATGTTTCTCTCCCTATGACTATAGCAAATTGCTGAGTCCTGAGAGCACCACATCTGGGGTAAGAGCATGCGAACACATTACCTGCTGTACTGGCATAGGCGTCACACTTCCCACTGGCTGGACGTTCCGCACCGCGGAGGAGTACTTGTACTGTGAAGTGCTCCGGGGCAGGGAAGCTGTAGGGAGTGCTCGAGCGCTGACTGTCTGGGTCCCTATGTTAACTGAAACAGAGACAAAAGCATCTACAAGGAAGAGTCTCACCATCTCACCAGTCTCACCATCTCACCATCTGCTTGCACACACCAAAAAGCTTGGTGGTAGCACGTTCAGCAGGACAGCAAGAATATTCCCCTCACAGGTTCAAAGCAATCTGCATCTTAGAGAAGAGAACATGAAGACAGAGGACTCATTCGGTAATTCAAGGAGGTCAAACTCACCTCATATCACAGGCTGGGTGCAGCCCGCAGGGCTCCTTGCGGGCCAGATCCAGCCTGGGGCATCCGGTGCCTCCAATCTGGGGCACACAGCAGCAGCAGCAGCTCTGACTCTGGCCAGGGGCACATGGCAGCTCAGGCACGGGGCTCACAGTGGTGTCACTGACTCCAGCCCAGGACACGTGGTGGCTCTGCCTCTGGCCCAGGGGTTCAAAGCGGTACCAGCTCTGACATGAGGCAGTGGCAGAGCCAACAATGGAGGAGAAATGGGAAGCACGAGTCAAGCAACTGTTTACCACAGTGGTGGTGATGGGCCAACTGGCTGCAGAGCAACTGGGGCTGTATCCTGCCACTAATCACCATGCCCACTGGGACCCAGAGGTTGTGGGTTCTGCCGCAGGCCACTCACCTGGCCATGCCCCCAGCTTCTGCCACCAGGAGCCTGGCAGACCAGAGACAGCAGCTCTGAGGGCTGGGTGCAGCCTGCTCTAATCAATGGGTCACAAACAGATCCACCTACTGTCCTCCTAGAGGAGAAGTCAGTCAAGTCCAGCAACTAAAAGGAAGCACCAGAGCCCAGTATAAAGGGACTCGCCTAGACCCCGCTGAGTGCACCGACTAGGGTGGCTTGCTGTAAGAGCAACTAGGGACTGAGAGTAAAGAGAAGTGTTCTACGGGAGCGTAACGCTGCCCTCCTCTCACTGCTGGGCTGACTGCAGAAAGGAGGTGACAGCTGAGGAAAAAGTAAAAGGGATGAGAACAAGAAACACCGAGGGGCCTCAAACATGCCCTCCACACACTGCATGTTACTGCGCTGCACCAATTTCATATGGGCTCCCAGAATTCCCCCTGGGTGACATGGGAGCAGCTTCTCAATGCCTCCTGCTCCACCTCTCATTGAAGAGACACCCCCTTCTCCTCAAACAACCATTCAGCTGGCTCACAAGAATGGACCCCACAGAATCAAAGCATCTCCAACACCAAATGCCCTTCATTTCCTGCCTCTTAGAGAACAGGAGATGCGAGTGCCAAATAGAGAAGATGGGCCAAGCACCACAAGTGCCAAGGGACGGAATCTAAATTCGAGCAATTTATACTATTTTCTGGGCACAGCAGCAGCAGCTGGTTCATTACACACACAAGGTGACCTCATACATATACCCTATTACCAAGGCGCAACATCCTCCTGACCCACATTACCCACCTCCTACAGCCTGGCCTCCTAAGCTTGAGTGCGAAGGAGTCTAACTTAGTGCCACCCACGTACTGAGGGCTGAAGAGAAGAGAGGAGACCAGCAAGAAAAGTAGCCAAGAGACCTGCTTACAAATCACCTCTGGATCCAGCTGTAGGCTGCTCCAGTTTCCTCCACCGTGTCACTTATGCTGACAAAGAATGACAAGGTAAACTAACTGAACTGACAAGTGACCAAACTTCTCTCCCAGCACGCTGGGTGAGTATCTTTTGACCTGAATACTTATGGTGAAAGGTCAGCTCATGTCAAAGCCCTGCTTCCAGGTCTTGCAGAAGTCAGAGCAGAAGGTCAGCAGGTGAGTAGGGAAGGGATGAACAAGATGCAGTCAAGCAGGCAACACACAGTTTCGAGTCAACCCTGGGAGCAGTCGAGCAATCAGATACAAAGGTAAAATATTCACATAAGCAAGGACTCCATGTGACCATTTTAATGTCTATATAGTGCACACAGCATCCAGCAGGACTAAGCAGTATCAAGATCCTGTTGTGCTAGGCACTGTCCCATAGATATCCATCTTCCCCAAGAACTATAAATCAATTATCTGCTTAGACTGCTCAAGTCTATTTGGGATGGAAAGCATCATTTAGGATAGAGGGCACTTTACTACTGCAATGCAAACTCTTTAAAGCTGATCACCAACCATCCAACAGGAAAGAGAGAGAGGGAAAGACTTTCAAGATCTCCAGCACCACAAATAGACTGGTCTTCACAGAAGCAGAGGGACCACAAGTAGCAAATGCCCTCATCACCATGCCCTCACTATAGCAACCCCCACATCCGTGCCTCCTCAGCTTACCCACTCTCTGGGTCTGTGGTGGCACTCGGGGCACTTGGGTCGAGGCCTGCCTCATGGTGCTGATGTTGGACAACAGGCGCCTGGGTGGAGCTGTGGTCCTCAGGATCGGGGTAGCTGATGGGAAGGCTGCAGGGAATGACCACTTTGTATTAGAAAACACTTCCTGAAAGTACAGGTGCAGAAGAAAATGATCGAGAACAGTCATTGTTGAAAGAGGGAGGCCTTTGCTTTGCCACAGAGTAAGTGCCAAGAGCTTCCCCCTCATTACCTACAGGTGCCCCACAAACCAGAAGTGCCACACAGCTATCCGAGCCAAGCTTGAATTGATTGAACTTTCAATCCTTAAACCTATGCCAGCACCAGAGAACCAGAGGGAAAACACAGAACAAGAAGCAGCCACCAAAGTGCGCTCCTGCTCCCCCACTCACAAGTTGTCCACAGGGAGAGACAGATAGACTCACTCACGGGGAGGCCTGGAGGGCTGTGCACTCCAGCGAGCAGCAGGACGGACTGAGGCAACTGGGCTGGGACTGTAGAAAGTAGCTCTGGTTTGCGGCTATGAGAAGAGAACATGTTATCCAGAGTGATTTGCAAGCCAGAGTTACTGCATCAGCACCCACAGCAGTGACAGACCACAAAATGGGAGAGTAGGCCCAAGTCTTTGAAATGTTGGCAGTGTAAGTGTTCCAGGAATCTCTACAAACTGATCCATGCACCCCAGCACTCCTGGCATTCATACTGCACCTAAAACACAGACCCATTTCTGCTCCTTCCCCTTCACTCCTGTTCCCTGTATCCTTTTCAGCTTCCCTGCACATCTCCTCCCACTCACTCTGTATCTTCTATAACACCCCAGCACATGACTTCAGTCCTTCTCCTAGTCCAACCAGCAGATCCCTTCTCCACATTCAGAACCCTGCGCTGTACCAATTCTTGGAGGTCTTCCAACTGTAACCCATCTCCCACCCATGAGAAAGTTACTTGGGTTCAGGAGCTGTGCATACCAGCTAAGATTTAAAATCAAAGCATGCCTATTTAGGCACTTAAGGCATCTTTACATGTGCTCTGGGGTGGGGGTTGGAGGGCACGTTAATTAGAGCAGCTCTCAGGAGCCGCTCTAAGTTAAAATGCCGGCAGCGTCTTGTGTATTCATCATCCCACACTTCAAAATGGCAGCGGGGGTGCTTTAACAAAAGCTCGTTTGATGAGATTTAAAGTGCCCCCGCCACCATTTTGAAGCATGAGTATGCTGAATACACATGATGCCAAAGCTGCTGGAGTGTGCTAACTTAGATCAGATTAATCGAGTCTGTTCTGATGCATTCTAATTAGAACACATCGGAATAGGTGTCGGGCTCGGGTACAGGTGCCCCTAAATATGTAGCCTAATTTTCAAAAGTACTGACAATGTACCTGCTCCCAGGATTTCTGAAAGTCATACCACCTATTTAGCCATCTGCCTATGGACTTCAGAGCCAGCTTTAAGTAGCCAGGTTTGAAGGTCTTGTTCATAGTCTTCACTGTCACATGGGCACTACCAAGAGGCTAGTTTCTGTCTTAGTGTGCATATGTTGCAATATACTAGAGGGCCCAGAGGATATTCAATGAATAATCGAGATTAACAGATTAGACAAGAGCCAGATGCAGCACGGCACAGAGGTCTCACATCTCTGTTATATGATCAGGACAGATTATAGTGGTACCCCATTGTCAGATTTGGGTTTTGTGGTGGTGAAAGGACAAGTGCTCAGACTGCAGCATCACTAGGAATGGCTCCATTAACTCTGACATTTCCAGACTTAAGATTTTTTTGGCTGTTACCACCAGAATCCAAAAATAAGCTGTTTTTTTCCCACTTGTTGTTAGTTCAGGAGTTTACATGCACACACCCCTGCCATGCGAAAGGCTTGGGGCTGCTCTGGCACACCAACTCAGGTTTCCTGGCAGTCTGCTGAAAAGATGCAGAAGGAGGGGTTAGTGGAACTCACCTGTGGGATGGGAGGCAGGAAGTACCCTGTAGGTGGCTGGAAGGAGCCAAGGAGAGGGCCAGGCAGGGTCCTCATGGTAGACAACCTCTGCATATACTGGTTGGTGAGAATTGCTTTCCTTTCCTCCTTCCTTTGAGCAAGGGCAACATACAAAGGCTTGGTGCTGACAATCCGCCCATTCATTTCTGTCACGGCCTTGGTAGCCTCTTCTGGGGAGGAAAAACATACAAAGCCAAACCCTTTGCTGTGTCCACCTTCTGTCATCACCTATAATTAGATTAGAACAACACAACTGAGTCCACTGAATGCCATGTATCCCACATGCATATCACACAGGGCCGTCACAGGTGGGGATGCAAACAGGTGGAGGACTGGCAGGATGGGCAGAAGCCAGCCATCAAGAAAAATTGATGCTCTGACCTGGGTGCCTAGGGACTATATGCAGAATTGGTATTTCTTTCAGATCAGGCAGCAAGTAGGAGCCCTGGATTTTAATGCTATGCAACTGTAAATGACAATACCTGAGGGTGACTTTCCACCCCACCTTAATACTTAATTTTAGGGTTACCAGCAACAGGCACATCAAACAACTTGGCTGTAGTGCAACATGCTTCTCCATATGATATATATGGTGGGGCGGTGAGTGGGATGCACAAGAGCTGGGTTCATGACCCAATTACCCTGCACTAGCAACCACTGCAAAAGCAATTATAGAAGTGAGGAGAATCAGCACTGATCTGTTTAGATACTATACATACTAGTACAATGGTTTTCAACTTCTTTTCATTTGCGGACCCCTAAAAAATTTTGAACAGAGGTGCAGAATTATAAGCATGGGGATTCACATACTTTTGACTGATCATAGTAATCTTTCACAGACCCCTTAGACATAGTCTGCAAACCCCTAGGGGTCTGTGGGCTACAGGTTGAAAACCACTGTCCAAGTGGTATCAAGGATGCTAATCAAATGTCTGGGATTTACTACATTCAGTTCCAGTTCAATGCCAACTAAAGCAGTACTAAATCTAAGAATCATCAACAGCTTGCCTCATGAACAGGGATCTACTTAAAATCACAATGAGAAAAAGGGGTTTTCACGGCCTGTTCACAGCGCACGGAGTTGACTGTACGGGCATTTTGTGGCAGCTCCACCCCCTGGCACTGATTGGCGGAGAAGTGGAGGGGGAGGAGGGGCAAGGGGGCAACTGCCATCCCATCTGCTGCCCTTTGTGCCGTCCTGCCAGCCGGCGCCTTCCCCTCCCGGCAGCATTTTATTTTTATCAAGTTTTTTTGTTGATTTCACAGATAATTCCAGATTTTGTGGTTTTTCCAAAATCTGTGAAACTGTGAACTAAGTAGGTCCCTACTCATGATTTATGAAGGCTCACAACAAATGCCATGCCCTGCCTGAAAGCCGAGATTTGCAGCTGTCTAGTGAAACAGCCCCCACCAGCAACTGACAGGTTACAAGGTAACTAAATGTAAAGTGATGCTATTCCTATGAGCACAACGCTTCCCCCAGGCATGCACAACCTTCAGGGCAAACACAAGAACGACAGAACACAGCAAGCCCCCGGTTAATACTTCATACCATCTGAACTGCAAGGTGCCAGACTTTCACCTAGATTTAAGAGCTCTAGTATCTCTGAAGCTAACGCTGGCTACACATTTTCACTTGTAGTGAAGACATGTCAGATCTGAACTGAAGGGGATGATAAAATGCAGACATGAGAATGATGCCACTGAGGTGCAATACTCTGATTTGTCAGGGCTTGGATAATCCAGCAAGATTACAAACACTTCCAAAACCTGTACATCTTTTTAAAGGCTTGGTGCTGACATGAAAGAAATGCGATTCTTGGTATTTGGTTCAGAATACAAAATACAAACAGGCCGAGCCATTTACTTCAGCTGTGCTGAATACACAAAACTAACTCTCTAGGGAGGAGAAACTTTTAAAAGAACCCAGGTGGTAGCCTACATCCCTCACCTTGGCACTAGTAATGGTACCATATGGAGAGAACTCCTTCCTTAGCCGCTCATCATCGATACCATCGTCCAGGTTCTTCACATACAAGTTTACCCCCTAAAAACAAATAGGGCAACAGGTCAGTTTCCTCCTAAAGACAACAGGCTTCTAAAAATTCAGGATGGCTTCACAGGGCCCACAATATACATTACGCTGTTAGGAACTCATTTTACTGTGCCATACAGATTTCTTCCATCTGTAGAAAAGCTTGGAGTGGTTTTACCTATTAACTGTTAACGCAAAATTCACCTTTTTTCTGGCTATGGAAAGAATTCTGGAGACACAGCAAAGTCCCTGATGCCCAGTGGTTTAGGATGGGGCTAGCTGTGCATCTTCCTCACCTGAAGGTAAGACACACCCTGGAGGTGTTTGTAACACAAGCAGTCACTGGGAGCCCATCCTTTCTCTGATGGTTAGAGGTCTTAACTGCCAGCCTTTGGTTTATTTGTGTTCAGTTTATATCCATTTGTTCTAATCCCAATATCATCCTTCAAGCTTCCCTGGTGTTTATAGACAGCATTTCTGTCCACTGCGAGGCTCTGTTTTGCGAAGAACCTCATTTTACAACAGGACTTGATAAGCTTGTGAAGGGAATTATGGCGTAGCTGGTTTCAATAGCAATGGACTAGGCTCATTCCCTTTCACTCCAACATCATATGCTTCTCTAAACTGGGATAGCCTCTGGAAGGATCCAGCTCCAGAGACTCAGATGCAATAGGATACACCAAACAGCTGCACTAATTGAAGCCAACCCCTGCATGGGTACGAAAACTTGAGGTTGACTGGTAAACTCCCAAAACACATGACCAAAAAAAGAATACAGGAGACTGCAAAGAACAGCAAGGGGATTTGAAAAGGCATTTTCTAGCTCTCACAATAGCAGGAGATTTCCTGATCACAGAGGAGCAAAAACTCTTTATAGAACCTTAAAAGAAGGAAAGAAACTGCCTATAGAAACAATATGTGGTTGATCGGAGATGGGATTGATTTGTGTTACCCTGGGTATGAAGGTCCAACCTGTATAGCAAGGAGGGAGACTTTCTTCCCTAGAAGAGCTGCTAGAACCAGGTCGAATTTTAAAGAGCACTGAGCAGTGGCCCACTGAAGCCTCTAAGCATTTAAGTAAGAGCCCAGAGGGAACAATTAGGCTGGTGGTTGGCCCTTTTGAAAAAAAATGATAAAAATGATCCCATTCCAAGTACCAGATGCCTGAAGGTTTCCCCCAGAGGCTGGGAGATCCAGCAGGGCCAAACCCCATGCAGGTACTCTTCTGGACAACCATGTCAGAGCGCAAACAGGTAGCTAGCCTTGCAGCATGAGGCACAAAATGCTGCTGCTTACACCATTACCTGGTACCTGCTTGCTCTTTCCTGCTTGATCTGTTCAAATTTACGCTTCAGTTCACTCTGACGCTCCAGCCTCTTCTGAGCTCGGCCAACGTACACCATCCGGCCATTGATTTCCTTCCCATTCATGTCTGCCACAGCCTGCCAGAAAAAGGAGCCAAATCTAAGTACAGAGAGAAACAACAGCACCCACACTTGTCACACACTTCCCAACAGCTATAGGGCTCTCAAGGAACAGAAGTAGAAGCAGCTTTGCTTCTGAACATAGGTTACAGCGTGGATCTCTCTTCTATTTTGCCCAGGGAAACCTTGATCCCCCAGACACATTGCTCCTCTGGGATTCAGTATTACCAAGAAGTTACAGAACTTGTAACTTGTGTGTTATGGACTCTTTCTTCCTGGAATATTAGCAGTTTTTCATGTTTCAACAGTTGATGCATGTCAGGTTCTTTACACTGATGAGCAGGTACCATCAGGCATCCCTGGTCCAATTAAATCTATAAAGCAGGGACCCACTTGCCTTCTGGGCTTCCTCGTGCTTCTCAAAATTGACAAACCCAAAGCCTTTCGAGTGGCCAGAATCATCCATCATAACTTTGACACTTAGCGTCTTCCCTGCAATAGAAAAGTGTTAGGTATGAGAACAGCTTGGGGCACAACGATAGTGTCCATGGAATCTCAGCTCACAACCTTAGCAAATCACCGATGTCTACACCATCTCTTTGGCTAATGATCAGATGTCATTAGAAGAGAGCAAAGTAAGTGCAATGGCAGCAGCATACAAGATTCAGATATTTAGGCAATTCCTACACCTCTCCTACAGTTCTTGTTTGATGCAAAAAGGGAGACATAGGTGCATGTTTCAGGGGAGCCCTACCATCTACCCTACCATTAAGGCCAACAGGAGCATGACAATGGCAGCAGCAGCTGGGTACAGGCACCCAGCCAGTGCTGTGAAAAGGCATGAGGGCAGTAGAGGAATGACAGAGCTGCAAGAATCAAGAAGGCACTCTCCAACAGCTAGCGCAGGAGACTCGGGTTCTATTCTTGGTGGCAGATACAGCTTAACTCTGGGCAAGTCGCAAGTTCTTGCACCCCGTTTCTGTATCTATAAAACTGAGCTAAATATCCTTATGTATAGTCACATGGGGATCCCAGTTACAGAAATGCTGCCTTGCAGAGGCACAGTTGCAAGGTTTTCTATAGATGTTAAATGTTTTTAGTGTTTATCAAGAACCAACAATGAGCTGAGTGCTTGAAATAAAAAACAAAACAACAACAAACCTCATTGTCATTGCAAGAGCTTAGGGACATGATCCACTGCAAGACTCAGTAGAAAGTGTAACGTTTGCTTTCATATCCAGGTTGGATATTCACATTTTTGTAACTGGCTTCTATGTCTTTGCACAGTTCTAAGGCATTTTTCTTCCCTATTTGCTCAATGGGCTTTTTTTTTTTTTTTTTTTTTTTAAACTGGCAGGCATGCCATCAGTTATTCTCCACCTTCCAGGTAAGGGATGGATGACAGATAGTTATTGAATGCCTAATTTTCAAGGTTGCAAGCTATACCATTACAATCATGTGGAATGTCTGGCTAGGTCTGCAGCTGACTTGGTAATTTGAGTCCTCTGGACTTCCATTAGTACTTAAGAGGCAAGAATTCTTGTGGGTGATATCTTTTATTGGACCAACTCATAGATAAGTGTTTGGGTATCACAGTAGTCTCTCTCAAGCCTCAGTACACTTCCTCTTTAATGCTAAAGCTAAGAGTTTATATAAATAAGAAGAGGCCCAACTATTCACCCAAGTTCTCTCCTTTGCACATATTCCTTAGTTTCACTGCCTCAAATTCATTATTCTGTAGAACAGGGGTTGGCAACCCCCGACACACGTGCCAGAGCATGGCATATGAGGCCATTTTGCTGGGCACACCACAGCTGGCCCAGACTCTGGGCAGCTGCTGCTGGCCACAGAGTCCAGGGCGCTTACAGCAGGCAGCTGGGAGACATCTCTGATCCCACCTCCTCCTCCTCCTCCCCCATTTAGTGGAGACAGGGACCTGCTGCGCCAGCAGCCCTCACTAGCAGTGCCTGCAGGGTGGCTGGGGGCAGTGTGGGGGGAGTGGCCCAGGGTCAGGCCAGGCTGCAGACTCCCCCAGCTGCAGAGACCATGGGGCTGGCTACTGCCGCACCTGCTGCCCTCAGGGTCAGGGGCCATGCTGCGAAGCCACCAGCATCCCCACCCAGGCCAAAAGGCAAAAGGAAGCAGCACGGATGGCCAGGAGTCCCATGGGAAGGGTCAGGCGCTGCCGAGCCAGGCAGAACAAGCCCCGCCACGAGTGGCCACTGAAGCGCTCACCTGATGCAACACCACTGTCACTGTGGAGCGACACGCAGCCCAGCTGCCCCATGGGAGGGAGCCATGGGCTACCAGGGGCTGTCAGCTCCCCCTGCAGACCATGTCCCATGATAAGCACCTGCTCCCCCCCCACATGCACAGAACCTGGGCTGCATGCTGCTGCACTCCCCACTGCCTGCTGGGATCCACTGGCCATGCCCCCCCCTCCCCCGACACTGCTCGCCCAGGTGTTGCATCACCACCACACTGCTGCCACCTCACTGACTCATCTGCACCCTTTTTATCCCAGCTTCCTACCCTGGGGCTCTCTCAACACCCTCAGAGTGAAACCAGAAGCTCCAGGAAAGTAGGATGCAGCCAGGAGGGAGGGGGCAGATAGCAGCCACTCACCACCCTGCCCAGTCCATTGCAGGTGCCTAGTGGGGGTTGGCCTCCTGCCTGGGCATGCTGTGCCTCTGGGAGCTCCAGAGGTAGCGGGTACCGAGAGAGGCACTGCCGCCACAGTGGCATCACCCTACCAAGCTAGGAACCCCCAGGGAAGACTCCTCCAGCCGTCCTAGATGCCCCAGCAGCTGCCAAGCTGCCGCTATGGGCACCACAATTCCCCTCCCAGACCTTTTAAATCAACGGTATGGCAGGGAGCAAGTGTGTGCATCTCTCTCCCCTTCCTTAGGGGCTGCTTGTAGCAGGTAACCATGAGGCTGTAAACGCATCTTGGGGAGCACAGGGGAAGAAGTCGGGGCTGTGCTGCCACAAGGATTAGGCCCCTCACAGCTTCCCCACCATCCACCCCTGGCATGCCAACATCTTGTAAGCCCAGGATGCAGAGTTTTTTGGCACTCAGCCCAAAAACATTGCCAACCCTTCCGCTAGAAAGATTTTGCGTTTCAGACTTTACTCACCAAACCTGGAGAATATTTCCCGCAGCTTGTCATCATCCATGTCATCCCCAAAGTTTTTGATATAGACATTGGTGAATTCCATTGCTCTAGCCCCAAATTCAGCCTCACGCTCTTTGCGGGACTTAAAGTGACCAACAAAGCTGCAGAGAAGAAACAGAGGAACATGAAACCCTCTTGTAATGGTGACATACCTGCACTGGACAAGAAAGAGACAGGTATGTCCCCTGGGAGTGAGGCTAGCAGAGTTCCTCCTAAAGGTAGCGTGATTGTCAATAGGTCCAGTCTGTGTAGCAGCTCAGCAACTTGAATAGACCCTCCTTGCATGTGTCCATCTCCTCGCAGAAACTGGATATTGTTCCTGACCACTTGCATAGTGGCAGCGCCCAGCGCTCCCTGCCCAACAGAGCTGACAATCCAAGGGCCCAAACACTGCTGGGGAATCTCATTCTCAAATCGATCCTAGACAAATTACATCATTTGTTCTCTTCCCCAACTCAAACTTTGGGCCCACTTGCCTTAACGCCACTGCTGCAGAGCTGCAGTGGTGTTACTGCAGATTAATACCAGAGACTGAGGGAGAGAAAGCTAACTAGGTGCCAGAAGGCTATGGTGTGTCCTAGGAGAGGACCAGCTCAGGACTGGAGAAGTCTAAACCCTACCCCCTCCTTCGCCTCTACCCCAATTATCTTCAGAATTTCAGAAAGTCAGGTCCAGTGAGGAACCATGGAGAGATACATAATAGGACACACTCAGCTCATGCCTGGACCAGGCTCCCTTTGTGTTGCAACCTTGCAAGGATCATCCGTATAACTGTAATCCCCAACAGTGACACTTACATCAGCATCAACTATTTAAATGATACTCATTTTGGAGGGTATAACATATGTAGGAGCTGACAGCTGCTGAAGGAAAGAATGAAAGAAAAGAAAAGAGGGGTAGGGCAGAGGGAATAAGAGGATGGGAAACAAGTAAAGGGAAGAAATAGCCTGAACAGGAAGCAGTCTCCCATTAAAATGCTGACTGTGCACTGAAGGAGTCAGGCTAAGCAGGCATTTAGCTAGCACATAAAGGCCAGGCAGAGAGGGCTACCAAAGCATCACCCAAGGAAGCCCTTTCCCCACTTACACCTTGCGGTCATTGAGCAGCATCCCATTCATGGTTTCAATGGCCCGATTTGCTGCCTCGTGAGTCTCAAAGTGAACAAAGCCGTAACCACGGGATCCATTTTCATCGCAAACCACCTACCAGCCAAGCACAAAAAGCAGAGTCAGATGCTCAAGAGCCCTACATGATAAGCAAGGATCCTCCCATCTCTTAGCCTAGGCAGAATTCCCCCCAAAGCCCACCCCGACTTCACCCTTAGGGAACATCGACCCCGTTGGCATCTTGTTTTACCCAAGCAATAGTATCTAGACTTGGCTCATGACATACTATCGGGGTGGGGCGGGCAGGTGGAGTCTGGGTCACAGGCTCAGCTTCTGGCCGGGATTGAGTTCCATTAATTCAGCAGGTAACAACAAAAAGGAAATATGACTAGGCGTGGTACAAAACAGAATTCAGACTTCAACCTGTTAACTATTCCTGGCAACTAGTCCCAGGCAAGTCCTGTGATAAATCCCGTTCTTGCACCGAGTAAAAAAGTTCCTACCTTGCAAGAAAGGATATTCCCAAAGGCTGAGAATGTGTCGTATAAGGCTTTGTTGTCAATGGAGTCATCCAGATTCTTGATAAAGACATTCCCAACCCCCGATTTCCTGAGACCTGGGTCTCGCTGGGACCACATGATTCGAATCGGGCGACCTTTGATGACTTCAAAATTCATGGTGTCCAAGGCTCGCTCAGCTGGCAGGAAACATGCACATTTGATTACAAAACAGGCAGAAGGAACTGCAACACAACCTTGGCCCCTTCTCCTTCAAAAGAACACCAGCTGTCTGAGCGATCAAATGGTTACAAGAAGTGGAGAGGTTTTATTTCCAAGCCTCACCATTGTGAGAGGGAAATATATGAAATAAAGACCGGAGAGGCAGCCTAAGCTACTTTGCAAACCAGATCCCAAAACAGCAGAGGCTGTGGAGGAGATTAAGTCCTCCTGTAACACCTTATGGAGAAACTGTCAGGCAAAGGGCTCAGTTCATGTAACTGCCTACAGCTATCCCTTGGTCCATGGTGGAAAACGAAGCGTGTGAGACTGCCCATTGGCCAAGGCATACTGAATGAGAATGACCGATTCCTCAATGAGCCCACCCGGGGCGTGTGGGCAGCAGATCACAGCTCTGCCCCAGCTCTGGACCATGTTGTCTCTGCTGCAAGATCCTGGCCCCGAAGCAGCTCCTTGTCCTGTCAGCACTGCTGGGACCGGTCTCCATGGAAACCCTGGCCCTATGCTGTCACAGTTTCACTACTCCTGGGGTCTCCATGGAAACTGGCCGCAGCGACAGGGACAGGGGCTGCTGGGAAATGGAGTCTGCCGTGGGCCCAATCCGGTCCATGGGGCAGACCTTGCTCGCCCCCGAGAGCGAATGGGATACAGATACAGCATGGAATACATGTACCGCATGTGCCAGAGCTTTGAGGAAGATTGCTGTTGTACACAGGTGAGAAAGTCAGTTAGCAAATTAAAAGCATAGGAGCTAATGATGTACCCTGCTTTATACAGGGACAGAGATGTGATTAGATGCTCAATCCTACCAGTGGTTACTAAAGAAGAACCCTAAGCAAGACTATAGTAGATACAAAGAAAACTCCAGTTTTAAGCCAGTACTACTTCTTAAATGCTCCTAGAATTTATACACCCCATTTAAGCAGATCCCCAAACCACCGCCAGCTATACACAAAAAAAAGTTCCAGGGAGGTTAACTTTTATCAAACTTACCATCTGCAGGCTGCTGAAAATTTATGTAGGCATAGCCCAGTGATCGGCGTGTGGCAACATCCCGACAAACTCTGATGGACATTATCGGCCCAGCAGGCGAGAACTTCTCATATAACATGGCTTCTGTCACATCTGGGTGTAGATCTCCCACATAAAGAGAGGCTAATGGATATCCAGGGCCACTAGCATTCATGGTCAACCACAAAGCTTAACTTTAAAGTGAAGCAAGACCCAGTTACACACTGCAGCACAGAAAATACCTTTTGTGCTAAGATAATACAGCATGAATCATATGAAGCAACCAAGAAAAATGTGATCCCAAACCTTCCTGTTGCCCATGAAGTTGTATGGTGCAGCAAACAGAAATCATAAATTCTTACTAGCGGCATTTGGATTATTCGTACCTCTGGTATATCACAAGCCTCATATGCACACCTTTGGTATACCAGAAGCTGAAACTAATCAAAATCATTTGAACAGCAAAGTCTGAATTGTTTATTGAACACTGACATCTTACATAAACCCCTACTCCATGGAAATTATGCAGACAATAGGACACTCAGATGAGGTATGACTCACTATTTTCAATTTACATGCACCAGTTAAGAGAACCAACTGGAGTTTCATTCCCTGGTAAACAAACAGCCCTATCCTGCTG